TTCAGGTTTTGCCGGAGGTCATATGTGTGGCCATGGGCTAATTTACCCCTACCTGTGCGATGAGGCGGGGCGGGCTGGTGTTCGATGTGAGTTGCCGTTTTGTCCCGACCACGTGGTGGTCGCTCAGCCGCATTGTACGATGGTGGTGTGTATTCCAGCGCCTCCTCATCAAACTGAGGTAGCAATTTGTGCTTTGGATAACTTTTGGTTGGCGCTTGAGGCCGTATTCTTCGGCTGTTAGGACATCGGTCCATTTATCATTGGGCAGATCTTGATCAGCTTGAAGCTGTTGCTTTTTCTTTTTTAGGCTCCTTGCAGTGGCTAATAGCTGGCGCTTGAAGCGCTCCTGCTCAAGAGGTTCCTCAGGCACGATGAAATCGTCGGTGCCGAGGCTCACCTCATCCTCAGAGAGCGGAAGATAACTTCCGTTCTTTGAGTCTTCATGCGTGGCCTGCTTACCAAGGCTAACCTGCCCATCTTCCCGTTCATCTCATTAGTTGTTTCAATGAGGTCTTCATTGTTTTCGGCACCTTCTGCAGTGTTATCTTCTCCTGTGCCGGTGTTGCTGTCTTTACTGTGGCGTGACTTAGAGCGGCGTCGCTGACGCGACGCTTGGATTATATTTCGGAAGGTTTATCCTCAGCTGGATCTTCCTTGTCATCGCCGCTATTCTCCTTTGGTGCATCCACCATGTATACATCATATGAGGAAGTGCCCGTCCAGCGTCTGGTGAATGGTGGGTTCTGGGCCTCTTCTTCTCCGGCATCGTCATTCATACCGTTGATGTCCTCGGAGTCATAATCAAGTGTCTCGGTTAAATCCTCGACCGTGGCTATGAAGTGGGTGGCGGGTGGGGAGCAAAATTCTCCATCGTCAGCCCCTAGTTCGAACCGGATATAGTTCGGCTATGAGTCCTCCGCCAAGGACAGGTTTTTTAACGAGTTTAGCATGTCGCCCAAAGGCGAGTGATGGAAGATGTCTGCGGCGCTGAATTTGAAGATTGATAAACGATCAAGTTCGGCGTCCGCGGGTTCACATGATTCGGAACTTACGGCCGAAAACGAGTCCGGAGTTCCGGTGGCACAGGTATCGTGTGAGATCAAGTCTATGTGCGGCTCCAACGCCGTGGAATCTGTGGCCTCCGTGGTGGGGTCGATCCTCCCGTCCTTGGATGGCGCAGTCTGCTCTGGATCTAAGGTCAGAGCGGTTATGGGAGTTGTCTCCTGGATGCGGTCCGATGACAGATTTATGTCATGCCCCTCGGGGTGACCAGGAGTGGTAGCCACGGTCTCGAATCCGGCGAAGATCAAGTCTCCACGGATGTCCGCAACGTATTTCAAGCTCCCAAATCTGACCTGATGGCTGGGGGCGTAGCTTTCGATCTGCTCCAGATGGCCAAGCGAGTTAGCCCGCAAAGCGAAGCCGCCGAACACGAAGATTTGTCCGGGAAGGAAGACTCCCCCTTGAGCGACATTGTTGTAGATGGTTGAAGGAGCCATCGAACCTCTTGATGACGACAAAGTGAAACTCTCAATGAAAGCACCAATGTCGGTGTCAAAATCGGCGGATCTCGGGTAGGGGGTCCCGAACTGTGCATCTAAGGTTGATAGTAACAGGAGATAGGGGACACAATATTTTATCCAGGTTCGGGCCCTCTCTATGGAGGTAATATCCTACGTCCTGCTTGATTGATCTTGATGAATATGAGTACTACAAAAGTTGATCTACAACGAGATCATAATGGCTAAACCTTAGAGGTCTAACTTGTATGGTTATGATAATGTGTCTCCTCCTCCGGACTAAGTCCTTCGGTTTATATAGATACCGGGAGGATCTAGGGTTACACAAGGTCGGTTACAAAGAAAGAAATCTACATATTTAGTCGCCAAGCTTGCCTTCCACGTCAAGAAGAGTCCCATCCGGACACGAGTGTAGTCTTCGGTCTTCGTATCTTCACAGCCCATCAGTCCGGCCCATGGCTAACAGGTCGGACGCCCGAGGACCCCTTAGTCCAGGACTCCCTCACCTAGTTCGAGGCCAGGCAGAAGGAGATGCTCGACACCGACGTCCTGAACTAGGTCGTCCGATCGGTCGTGGCCGTTCTTTTTGGAGGTTGGCATGAGTGTCGCCCGTCCGCTGGGCCACTGGCTGTGTGCTGGAGAGAAAAACATTCATTTTGGAGGCCGGTTGTGTTGCCAGCCGCTGGTTGTGTTGCCGGCGAGGACAACTATTCATTTTGGAGGCTGGCTGTGTTGCCGGCCGCTGGCTGAGTTGCCGGCGATGGACGTGTAGGCCGCCGGCTCTGTTGCCGGCGTGCTGAACTGGGACAACTGGCCTGATGAGCTAGGGCTTGGCATTTGAAACATTACTCTTTTTTAAAAATAGACGCGGATAGGATGGGGCAAACGGATGCGGCCACGCGCTGGGCGCACGGCCACCGCATCGCAGGACACACCCGAACACGACCCCATTGCCTTACCCAAACGAATAGAATCTGAACAAAACGGACGTCCGTTTGTGGTCGCGCGATGTAGTTGGCCTAAAAGAATAAAAATAAAAGATTTAGTAGAGATCAACCTGAAAACAGCAAATACAAAATAGCACGAAATATTGACGAGAAGACCAGAGCAGCACTGTAGCACACAATCCATTGCCGTCTCTGGGTGCCCAAACACACTGTCAGACGCCACTGCCTCTACAAGAGGGATGCACTCATGCGGTCGTGGTTGACGCGACGAGACGGGACGAGTTGAAACAAACAGTGGAACAGCGCTGTTGGCTGGTGGAGCGGCAACGCCAGGGCTCTTGACAGCGTCGTTGCCGTGCCGGTGCGCGCGCCACGCCGATGCAGCAGCACGGGCCGACCCGGTGCTGGGTTCAGTAGCGCCTAGCGCCTTGGCCGGCGCTCGTGTGCTCGTGGAATCAGAGGGTGTTTGTTTCCAGGGATTTATGGGTCTAGGGACTTAAAAAAGTCTCAATAAGTCCCACCTAAACCAAACGGGAGGGACTTATGGGGACTTATTGTGGTGATTTGGAACTTATTGAAAAAGACTCTCCCTGAGGAGCTTATTGGGACTTATCGAGCGATTCCCCCGGCCCGCATCGCACCTGCCCCGGCCCGCACCTTCCCCCCCGCGTCGCTCTCCTTCCCGCATGACGCATCGATCTCCTTCCCTGCCCCGCACCTTCCCCGCTCCTTTCCCTTCTGCTTTGATCGCCACGAGTAGCCAGCGCCGCCGCAAGTAGGCAGAGCCGCCGCTGCCAGTAGCCAGCGCCACCGCCGCCATGGGCAACGATGAGGAGGACGGGATCCCTTTTTTGTCTCCGTTCCACGCGAATCATCAGGCATCGCAGGGCTCATCCGCCGGGGGAAATCTCGGGAGGGGAATGGGATTCTTGGATCTCAACCACAACGTCGACGAGTTCCCGGAGTTGGGCTCGTACCAGCAGCTCCTCTTCAACCAGTCCGCCGGCCATGGTCTTCCTCCTACTGGAGCTGGTCGTGGGAGGCCCGTGTCTCACGGCGGAGGAGGCCGAGCACGGTCTCTCAACTTCGGAGGCCGAGCCGGCTCTCACCTGCGTCCGTTCGTCGCCCCGGGCGCATCTGCCATTGAGGGAGGTGTGATAGGGCGTGGGAGGACCGTGGCGCAGGTCACTGGACGCGGTGTACGTGGAGCCCACGGGTCCTCATCGGCCGGCAGTAGAGGAAAAGCTGCGGGCAAGCAACGTGTGTCGTCAACTGCTGCATCTTCAGAAGATGTCGATGAGAATGAAGGCTTTGAAGATGGTTATGTGAACAAGTGTTTTATCAACTTATAAGTCCGTGTAAACAAACAGGCAAGGACTCGGGACTTATAAGTCGGTGTAAACAAACAAGCAGGGACTTATGACTTATAAGTTGGGACTTAAAAAAGTCCTAGGACTTATGAAACAAACAGGCTCTCAGTCCAGCGGAGCGTTGGCGCCCCGCGTGCACGGCGCACGACCCGCTCAACCGTGCCACAAATGGCGAGCAGCGAAAGACTAGACGAGTACGTGCTCGTACTCAAACCTAGCCAAACCGGGCACTGCATGCACACAGGGGCCGGTTTCCTGCCACCTAAACACAGGGCATTGCTGGATCCAGATCCGGGCGACACGGCGGAGCCACAAAGCTTAGGCGACAGCAAAACCACGCGGCGCGAGAGGCCAAATCCCACCGAGGACAAGGAGAAGGGAGAGCGGAGAGATCGTGTCGGATCCTGCCCCGCACCGAAAGCCACGGACCGTGCCTAATCGCCATCATCACACACCACACTCCCAAGCCGATGAGACAACTCAGTCGGCACGGACGAACACAAGGGCAACGTTCGACCCCACGCAACAGCAGCAGTAGAGCGCCAAGCCGGGCGGCGTGCTCGGCCAAGCTCCGGCCGGCTCCACCACCGCGGCGCGGCCTACCACTCGGCCCGGCCGGCCGGACCGGAGGGCGCAAATGGGAACAAAAATCTCAGGCCACCACCGGCCAAGGCGATGCTGGCTGGAGAGCAGGCCGGCCGATTACGAGGTGGCGCTCCGGCCTAAAGCCACACGAGTGCGACCAGACCAAACCAAAACACTGCAACTGCAATTTAGAGAAGCTTCCAGGCACAAATCCCGATGCACTCTACTGTCCAGGGACAAATTAATGCGGCATTAATCTTGACAGGGGTACGATGATTAGTCACTCACTGCAGCTACTACACTAGTCTAGCACGGGTAGTAGTACTAGGATTAAAGCAAGACAAGAAAGATAATGAAGCTACAAACAGCGGCGCCTAGCTAGAATTAGAGTGGGGGTACAAATATGCCCTCGGTCCGGTACCACGATGTACGGCACGGCCGCTGCGGGGGAGGCATGCGGGGGATCAGGGGGTCGTTTACACCACCTGCTTGCTCACAACTGACTGACACTGCATTAATTAAATCTAAAGCCCTGGGGATTAAAGGAACTCGGTACTCATTAGCTAGCGCTAGCACGGCTAGACGCTGATGGGGGAGGGGGAGGGCGACGAGACGGCGGCGCGTGGAGGCGAGTCGTCGTCCGTGTCGTCGTCGTCGCCGTCGCCGTCGCCGGTGCCCGCTCCAACGCCACCGCCAACGCCAACGCCAGCGTCAGCGCCGGTCCCAGTGCCGGTGCCGAGGGCTCCTGGGTTGATGCCGATGCCCATCCCCATGCCCATGCCCATACCGGCCGCGACGGAGGTGGGCGAGGCGAGCTGGTGCTTGTGGTTGTGCATCCAGACCTTGAGGACGTTCCGCTTGACGCCGATCTCGAGGCAGAAGCGCTCGAGGGCGCCGCCGTCGTCGCGGTTGATGCGCCACCCCTGCTTCTCGGCGAAGGCGCGCATCCTCTCCTTCTGCTCCGGGGTGAACTTGGTCCGGTGCCGCTTCCTCGAGAAGCTCCCGCTCCCGCACCCGGGGCTGCAGTCGTCCGCCCGGGGAGGCGTCTCCGAGCCGGCGCGCGCGGGGTCCAGCAGGGCGTGGTGCCACGCGGCGGGCACGGCGTGGTACGGCAGCGCGAGCTGGGGCGGCCGCGGGGGCGCCGACGGGAGGAAGCCCTGCAGCACGGGGTGGTGCGGCTGCGGGTGATGGTGCGGGGGCGGCGGCGGGGGCGGGCTGAAGAAGAAGGGCGCCGGGCAGGCCCCGCCCGCGAGGCTACCCGCGCGGCGGTGGAAGCTGCGGTGGCAGCCGCAGGCGGCGCACTTGAGCGAGTCGGGCGAGGCCGGCATGTACTCCCCGCAGCCGTCGAAGGCCTGGCCGCCCATGGCGGCGGCGTGGTTGCGCATGCACTCCTTGTACTTGGCCCCGGCGTCGCCCCCGGCGCCGCTGCCTCCCTCGTAGGGCACCAGGCTCAGGTGATCCATCATGTCCGCACGAGAGGAGAGCTCGCTCCCGTCCCACCACCACCACCACTCACGCGCTCGCTCGCTCACCCACCCACTCGCGCGTGGCCACTCTCGCTCGCTCCCTCGCCAGAAGAAGGAAAGGAAGGCGTATCGCTTTCGCAGCAGCGGTAGAAGCGACCACCGGCCAAGCAAGGAAGGGAGGAGCTAGGGGGTTTTATCTGCGCGCGGACCACCGTCACCCATCAGGTGTGAAGCATAGATTACTTCGTTAATTAATGCGACGACTTTGGCCCTGATACAGAATGAGAATAAATTAATTTGACTATAGGCACTGCAAAGAAGTACTGGCAGTACCTACACATAGTAAAAGCAATATTTTTACGTCTACCAGCAAAAAAATTTATTTTTACGTCGTACAGTAAGTGAAGCTCATCTGTTAACCAATTTTTGTCAATTTGAGATTGCTTTTACCACGCTTGTCGCATGGTCATCTGTTAACCAATTTACTCAGAGACTGAGGCTATGCTTTGTAGGTGCCACGTGGAAGCGGGAAGGGGTGCCTGCAGGCGCCACGTGAGACGGGACTCGACGAAGGGTGATAACAGCGGCAACGTGTCGACCCGGCATTGGGGCCGGATGCCATTGTTACCACAACAGTAACCGCTCGGGCCCGCCACGTGAGGGTGCCGTGGTGTACTCCTCGGCGTCAGATGATGATGGGACCTCCGCGGACGGACGGCCCTGATGCGATCGGACGGGGAGATGAGGTATGGGCTAACTGCCACCCAAGCGGCCGTGGGGTACGGCATCTTACCTGATCTTCTGTGCCCCGTGTTTGCCTGCCCGGTCCTGTTGCCAGGGGGTTCTAGCTCCAATCTTGTTACTCTCTGTCAATTAGATCACAATCTTTGCAGCTGATTTAATTACACGGCACAGAAAATATGGCACGTCACGGGACTCAAATGTCAGCGTGGATTTCTCGAACTTCGGTGGCCATGTTAGTAGGTTATTGTCACACTAACAGTACTGTATCTCGCGAACGGCAGCTGATAAGTGTGCAAACAAACACAAGTTTACGTTGTGGAAAATGACAAGTTCTTTCTTTTTTTCGATGGTAAAAGAGTTTTATTTCATATTCATAGGATTACAATTAAGTGGCAAAAGCTGCTCGATACAAGAAGGGCCCTGCCTAAGCTGTAGTACTCTCTGTACGCCTATACATAGCCAAACGATATACTACCCTATTTTTTGTTCTCACTTAATTTTCAAAGAAGTAAACTCTTTTTCATCCATAAGATGATGAATCTCAGCAACTAAATGACCATATACCGAACGGGAGAGACTTTCACCCGTCAAGGCCAAAAGAATTTGTGAAGAGTCGGAACGATGATAGGAATATTACAGTGCTCAATTGCTAATGCCATTCCTTGCATTATTGCATGTAGTTCCGTCTCCAACGCATCATTGCAGTTAAAAATACACCTGTAGGCCGCAAAGATGACACTACCATCATGTCTTCTTGGTACCATACCCGCTGCCGCTGATCCATCCGTAGACGAACACGCCCCATCGACCGATAACGCGGCTTGGCCAGCCGTCGGTCGCGGCCATGGCATCAGCACCACCTCACCGCGTGGCCTGACCGGATCTTCACACTGCACTGGCATCTTCCCCTTGAGGATCTCCTTTGTAGAGTATTTTCTAGCCAAGTGTAGCGAGTGCATACAACTTTGAAGGTAGTCGACCGTCACCGCCGGATTCGGTACAACTTTATCATGCGCCATGTCCGACCGTAACGTCCAAATCCTCCAGATTAACATTATGGTCACTACTAGGAAAAGGCTTATACATATAAGTTTATCAGTAGCGTGTGTTTTGAAGCCCACGCTACTGATAATTAGCAGTAGCGTGTGTTACAAACCGCGCTACTGGTACAACTTAGCAGCATCGTTGGTTTCTAGAGGGCACACTATTGGTAAGTTAGCCACACCACACCCCCCGGCCAAAAAATAGTAGCAGCGTTGGTACCCTAACAAGCGCTACTGTTAAGAAAATAGCAGTAGCGTGGGGCCACTAAGAAACGCTACTGCTACTTCTTCTATGTGCAATCTTTTACTAGTAGCGTGTTTTTTGGGCAAGCGCTATAGCTAGTTTTATGTATCAGTAGATATTTTGGCTAGCACACATAGCAGTAGCGCGTTTTGGTGCCCAGCGCTACTGCTATGGTCGCCAGCCAAAATATCTGCCACCTTTCCCCCCCTTCTTCTTCCTCCCCCTTTCTTTCTCCCCCTCCCTCTTGCACTTACTTGTCCTTCAATGCTTCCCCCTCTTCTTTGCCCCTCCCCCCTCCATTAAT